AGGGGGGGTGGAACTATATGATCACTAAGGTTCCTTCCAACCCAAACCATTCTGTGATTCTATGAACATAGGTAACATGTTACAGAAAGCTAGTATTTCAAGGATGATCTTTTTTAGATATGATTTGCTTACTATGGCTTTGTAACCTTCCTTTTCTGCTGTCACCATCAATGAAGTGTGAGACCTGATGCAGCCTTCAGTTTTTTGAGATACTGACCTCTGAACTGACATAGATAACTCTGTTCACGTGTAACACAAGCATCACACAGGGGTCATTCTTGAAAATATTATTTCAACAAAATATTACTGTAGATTTTTGTAGGGCAGGTAAAATAATCAGTTTTGCCTGGGAAAAATACCATGAGTGTAATATCCTTTGAACAGTTGGTCTTCCTTCAGCCCATAGTTACCATTCAATCCATTCAGAGGGCTGTTTTGAAGTATTTTTCTATAATGAAAATTTTATTACAGTGTACTCTATAAAACTTAAACTGCCTAGCATGTTTGTCGTTGTAAAGTAATATTGACAAATATTCTGTGACTTTAATTTTATTAAAATGTATCTATTACATTGCTTCAAGTGGAGATGAGATTACTTTAAAATCTGTGTTACAGTCCAATACCCCTTTAAGTTAATTTTTTTTAACAATGTATATTATTTTACAGCAAGACCTCCACACTTCTCCCCCACGTCCATGTCAAAGGAAAGTGGAATATTAAGTTTTCCACCTTAAGCATTCACAGGTAGAGGAATTCTAGCACTGAAATTCATATGAGCAAACCCCAACACGGTGCAAGTCTGTGAGTGCATGTGTGATGGGTTTGCCCTTGGATGGGGGCCAAACCACGCACACACTCACACAGTTCCACCCACTACTCGAGGACAGGGGAGAGAATTAAAAGGGGTAAAGGGAAAGAAGGACTTATGGGTTGAGATAAGAACAATTTAATAACTAAACTACAATAATATTGAAACTAATACTATACACAAATATGCAAATGAGTGATACAACGTGATACTGCCCCCCCCCCCCCCATGTACACAAATTCAAGTTTTCCCTCA